GGATGTTGGTCTCTCTTAACGGCGTCAGATGTCGAAGTATAACCGAAGCTAGCACTTTGGTGACGATCGGGATCAAAGTGATCCCGCGGTGGTTTTCACAGTCGTTGCGACATTCTTTCTTGAAAATTGGAACGATCAATGATTCTCCCCAAGATGAAGGAATGTGTTCTTGCGTCCAAATGTTGCGCAGTAGGGTAGTAATAGAGGTTACGAGGTTATCACCTGCCATCTTGAAAAGAGTGGGAGAGAGCTCATCCGGTCCTGCTGCCTTTCCTCGTTTCAGAGCGTGAATGCAAGACCGAAATTCTGCTTCCGTTGGAGGATCGCATGAGACTGTCCACGGAGCTTCAGTCGGAGATGAAGCAGCCTGGTTAACACTAGGCCAGCTGAACTGTTCGCTGAAGTACTCGTTGATCCCTGTTGTGAATAGCTTGTCCCCTCTTATGGAAGACTGTTTCATTAACTGGAGTCCGCCGACCTCCCGTATTGCGTATCAATCGGAACAGTCTTTGACTTCCCTGATGCAGCCGCTACTTCCATTTCACTAGCTATTGTTGCCCACCAGTTTTCACGGTCCTTCTTCAGGATCTTCATCAGCCGACGTTACAGACGCCACCTAACTTTGTTTTGCTCCTGGCAGGTTGGGATTCGTCGTTTTTGATCCATCAGTGCTACAGGCTCATCAGATTTCCAATGCCTCTGTTGCGCTTGAGGCTCAATCCCACAAACAAACATGCATTGCTCGCCTAATCTGATCTCACTGCTCATTTAACTCATCACATTGAGGCGCGCTTAGCTCACGCACTAGTTCTGACTCAGCGTACACGAACGGCTGGAACAGATAGTCGATGGTGAGCTATACGAGTTGGCTGATTTTTCGTCAACCAGCCAGTCGAAGAGTGGACTGCATCAAAACTAACGGTAATATAAACAGATGAGCTGTTCACAGCTATCAACTTTTGGGTCGAGCTAAATGTACAATCTCATCTGAAGGCCTGTCTTCCGTGTTTCTCTGTGGTTGAGTCCCGGGATGGTATGAGAGTATGAAGACCATAACTAGCAGACTCAGTCACATAGGTACCGTTGGCCTCCCTGGACGTGGAACACGAGAGCGTCGTAGCTGGTGGTTAGAAACGTTGAGTAATATGGCTTAACGACGCAGTGGCGTTCGTGCACCTATTCATTATTCTTGCAACCCCGATCTATACGAATTCTTTATCTTCTTTTGAACTCTGCTCTTAATTTTCCTATGTTTCTTTACCTAAATGGACAGCCCAAAGATAGTAATCGAAACCAAGCATAGTGCCAACGCCACCATAATA